GATCAGAATTGAAATCTCGGGATCCCGGGATCCCGTGCAAACCCTAATATGCAACCTGCAAAGTTCGAGTGCCTACCATCAATGACGTCGTTTTGCGAAGAAGTGATTATAAATGATTACAGAGAGTGCATGAAGTATCAAAAAAAATGAGGAATGCGTTATGAGAAAAAATGTAGTTATGAGAAACGGCAGTCGAAGTGTGCGTTTAGTTGCAGGATTCTGAAAAGTGACAGAATACAGCTTACGTGCTCAATGAACACTCTATTAATTTTCCATTTTCTGAATTGATTGAGAACAGTTGAAAGTCATGAATGCATTAATAGGACCCTGTAAATAAGAACAAATAAGTGCATTCGATGCATGTATGCACGCAACATTTTGAAATACTTGTTTACGTCGGATAAAACATGACCGAATGAGACTTCGGTCCACTACCAGACATTCAATTTATTCCTGCATTGAAAACGTTTTTCGCAGGTTTATGTAGTCTTTCAACGAGCCGAATTGATACTTTCCTCGAATGAAAATTGTCTGCATCACTGCGCCTTTCATTCGAATGTTTCAAGCTCACTGATGATTGTGCTTTTTGAATATATTATTATACGTCGGTTGATTACACTCGCAAGCAGAACATAATTTTCTGCGTTATTTCTCAATGGGCAAATGAACGAATTGCAATGATCAGCACAGCATAATAATTGTTTCAACTGAACTGGAAACGAATATGAGTAAAGCAGATGCGATGAGGTGCTGAAAAATATCTACTTGATATTTGAGCAAGGTGTTGAATCGGAACAAAGCTTGCATTCCTCGCCGCTCATCATTTCGGTTTTGATGTGAAAACGTGAGAATATATTGCTTGAAGAAAGAACCATTAACTTTAGTTGAAGTGAGTTCAGTGATTTTTAGCATTTTGGTGAAACAAACTGAAAATTGATGGTGGTGAATGCAAAGAAAATACTAAGAAAATAAAATGAAACAGCTAAATAAAATGTGATCAAAACACAGATATTGCTTTCAGACATTGCTATAGTGATATCAATAACTGCAGCAATTCGCAGTACAGCGATATTATTTGATGACGGCAAAAAATAGTCTCGGAGGTAATCCTTCTTGACGAAAATAATGAAGCGATGTTTCAGTGTGGTGTTAGTGATTTGAAATAATTGCAGGAAGAGAAATGAATAAACGTTGTCATGGAGATAGTTACGAAACTGATAGCATAAACAGCGATGATACGTTGCGAGCAAACATATTGCTTTCTAACAATCACTTACAAGCACTCCTTACGATGATTACTCAGAAACATTAATCGCTCGATTACTTCTATTATTTGAAATTAATTTTTGAATCTAACTTCATTCAATATACTACAGCAAGTTGCAGTTGAGCACGTCAAAAGATTTACAGATGAAATACTGCAGCGTGTTAATTAGATGGGTGTAGTTCGTTTGAAGCATTGTCCGAAAGTGACTGATGAGTATCACAGATTATTAAACACGATCAATGGAATATCACCGAGCAAACACTTCATTTCATGAAGGTTTTCACAGGATTTGAGAGCAAGTCATTTCGAAAGATTCAGTGGTGTTGTGGTTTGCGTAAGCATTGTGGCAGGGACGGGTTCACTTTTCTCTTCAGAATCTCATAATTCATCACCAATGCAGTGAAAACATTGGTAAACTCCGGCTTACAAGGAACACATCTATCAATAATGGTGACAGAGGATGTTACAGCTACGTGACAATTCGATGAAGATGAAATTATCTACACAAAACTAAATCAAATGTGACAACTGATGAACCCGAAGTTGAGAGCTTAGCAAGAAAATTCGAATATCCAGCTTCAACATTAAGTGAAAATTGAGTAAGCGTGCGGTGGAATGCGCAGTGGAAACTTGACGTAGTATTTATTATTTACTTTTCAGTAATAACTCGATAATAACAGTAATTGGCCAACTAGGCATGTATAATATCTTCACACAATATTCAGTCCACAATGATTAACAGCAGTGCTGAATTACAATACTTTACAATAATGATTTGAATTAAAGATATTAAGTACAATACTTTCTTTTGGTTATATTTCAAATTCTTGGGATTTAGATTTTTATATATTGAGAATGAGGTGCTTGACTTGGTTACGATTAGAAAGCGGTTTTATGATTAAAATTACTTTGAGTAACATGAATACTGATACACATTTATAGAGCATTTTCCAAGCTGAACAGTTCTACCACAACTCTTCAAAGGCTTCACTTTATTTTAGGTTTCAAAACCTGTTCAAGATGGCTGAGACATTTAACTAGTGTTGGATCGTTGGCCGCCGAAAATTGATGACTCCCAATCGGAACTAAAGGAGACTGATCGGTTAGCAGTTACCAACAATAATCTTCTGGTGGCTACCTGCCGGAAGCTTTAAAGATCTTTTCGATAACTATCGATCGAAGCCAACTTACGCTCAAAATCTGACTTGTCGATGGTCACCGAAAAAAATTTGCTTGTCGCCAACTTTCTATTCAACTGTAACGCTTGCACATTTGATCGTCAATTGATGCTTATCTGCAGAAATACATCGAGGTATTGTGGCATGCTTAGAAACGTTTTTAACACTCTTTTTCAAACTTTTACCAGTCGACAGCCTAATTTCTAGGAGTTATCTGCTCAACATGGTGATATTGACACACCATTTTCTTTTTGATTGTTTCTTGCGACATCTCGGAATGTTGCATCTACTGAGGTACTATCGATCTGCAATGATCCTGATGCAAGTTCGGAGAATATACAATTGATATATGTGCTCACCGGAAAACATACAAGATAAGTACAAAATTATAATATACAATTGATATCTCTTTTTAAGCTCTGCAGAATGTATGTCTACGATTTTCCTTCCAAATATTGTTTTCTCACATTGTAACGAGCATATTTGCAGTTTTCGAGTTGATCAAAAACTTTCGAGATATAACTTCTTCCAATGAATAGTTAAACAGATTTTCAGTGAAATAAGCTGCACATAATTCAAATCTTCATTTGCGGTTGCTTTATTATCGTAATTTCTACTTGAATCGTTTCAATGCGAGGTCATTGCTCAGCGATATGCGTATTCTGTTTCTCTGTCACTCTAACGTTTTAGCAAACTTCGATTCACGTTCGTTTAAAAATTTTACGCGATTTTGTCTTCATAAAAGCATTTGTATGTGATGATTCTTGCGGTGAGCATTGAATAGCGACGTTTAGAGATGGGCATCTATTGGCTTTCCTCGGTGGATTGTACCAAGATGTGCTTATTTTTCGAAATTTCAGAATAAATTCCAACAATTCCATTCCTCGTCAAATATACCTCATCATCTTTCCTTACACTTCTGGTAGATATGTTCGTTTTTCATTCCTCAAGCGTTCTCACTGACTAGTGTTTATTTCGGAATGAAGATGTTCGTTAGATATGAACAGCTTCATTCTGATTTTATGAATTCGTTATGTTTTAGCCGAACACAATCAATAACCGTTAATAATTCATTAGGTTTCAGCAATGATGCCATTGTGCTATGCTCATTTTTTTGATCAGTGAAAATTCGCATCTCATCAAATCAGTTTGTTTATGTGTAAGGAAAGAATAAAGTTAGAATTGATATATATTATATCACATGGGTAACGCATCATGTTGTGTTCGTGATTCATCTACAAATGAATCCAAAAATTGGTCGAATGATGACACTAGACGAAATCATCAGGTTTTTTATTCGCTTATTGTTTTCATTTATTAGATCTTGCCGATATCAAACGCATTCAGTGGACTTAAAATACGAAAAGTTTTATTGATTTCTAGTTCGATTTCTTGTAGTTTCAGGCGTTTTCCTTCGTTTAGTCGGCAGTTTATCATTTCTGAATTTTCTAGCATAAAGAAGTTTGATGAAATTTAAAAGTTCTTAAGGCTGCTAAGGTGAAAGAAAGCATGAATCGAAATCATTGCTTGATTCATTCGCTATCAAGCATGTATCTCTTGACGCTACTCACATCCACAATGATGGAGTTAACGTTTGCATGGAAAATTCAATATTTTCACTAAAGTATTCACGACTGTAGTGATAGAGATTGAATATGTCTATTCTACAGTTGAAAATAAAATGAATTTTAAGTATTTGAATGAGACGTTCCCTCGTGAGGACACCTCCACAAATTTTCTTCCGCATATCAGCGAACGTGAACTACCTGATGGTTAGTGATAATTTACAGTCAACGAAGAGGACTTCATGTGCATTTTTAAAAAGATAATCACTCTTTTCTTCCACTCTTCATTCTGACCGGAAGCATCCTTTGGCTTTGAAACTTATGACAGTTCACCGGAAATTCGAGTGCTCCAATCGAAATTTGTTCTCCAAAAAAATAACTACCATAATTTCACGTAAAGGACTGTAACAAGATGTCTGTGTTCATCTTCGTGACTTTATCACCGGCGATATGAAGTAATGCTTTTCAGAAAATGGTGATGATCCTTCAACACATCCGATGGTGAAGCCAATGTTCATGGAACGTAGTCGCAGTGAAATGAAATGTTTGTTTATCAGTATTCATTTTCATAACTTTGCTCATCGTAACTGCTTGACGTTCCTTGTTGAGAACTGAATATACATAAAGCAGTAATAAGACAATATAAGTATTGATGACAAGAGCCACCATAATGATACTTTCAGTGAAGGATATTCGTCGATCATTTTATGTGCTCGATTCATATAGTATGACACCGATTGTGAGTCCTTTAAGGAAGTCGAATTCATGTTCAACAATATTCATTGATGATTCCACGATCTCACAGCCGAACCTTAAAAATACCATCAAGTGTATTTCATTAGCTATTTATTATCATATTATTAATCGTAAGAATCGATCAAAAGAGCGTCTCATGGAAATATTCGAAGAAAGACTGCATCCTATTACTGTGAGAAATTTTCGACTTGTTTTCCGTTTGTTTGTTTAAACGATGTTTTGTTTATCCTTTATTTTCTAAACTCTCACATCGTTGTAGCCGTTGTTCATGACTTTTCAAAACTGATAGTGATTTTTTGAATTTACAATTTATGCCGGATAACAGTTAATAAATCCTGAATGAACGCTTCATATTGTAGCGTGACCCAATGCCAATTGAGTACATGTCAAGAGATCCAGACCACAGGCAGATCTATCGATTCATCCGAACGTTGTTCCATGCTGCACAGTTAAATGCCGAATGTGCTATCATCACCTTGGTTTGTTCAGACATTTTTATGAGCGTGTGATATTCGCTGCTTGCTGTCGATGGAACGATTGTTGTTTTGTTTTAGGTTTATATAGAAAGGTTGTTGAATTACGCCGAAATGGATTTGTGTCCATCGAACTGGCGTCGTGTCGTGTTGGGAGCTATAATGCTAGCATCAAAAGTATGGGACGATCAGGCAGTGTGGAATGTTGATTATTGTCAAATTTTAAGAGATACGAATGTCGATGATATGTATGTCTTGTTCACTTTGATTGTTATTCACCTAATCACCCGTCCAAATCAAACGTTCGATTTTACGGCAACTTATGAGTCATTCCGTGTGCACATTAAGCCTCGTTGAATTCTCAGCAATAACAGGGTGAATTTATCTTACAGGAATGAGCTGGAAAGACAGTTCCTTGAGTGCCTTGAATTTAATATAAATGTGCCGAGTTCAGTGTATGCAAAATACTATTATGAATTGAGAACATTGGCCATTGCGAATGATTTGCAGTTACCCTTACAGCCGCTCTATAAGGAACGTGCCAATAAACTAGAGGTGAATATTACTTCATTGAATGTTCCATTTTAATGCGTTTCGTTATGAATTTTACTTTTACTTGTAGCAAATAAAACTGAAATATTGAAGGCACTCAGTCGCATGTACGAAGACAAACTGCAGCCAGATGTTCGACCGACTCATCGACGAAGTTTTTCAGCCGAGAAATTAATGACCCGAGAAAATCGATCGTGTGTTGTCATCTCATAATTCCATTCTTCTTCTCTGCCTCTCTTCATTTCTTTGTCCTTCTCACTCAGGTTTTTTGTTTGAAACTTGAAAATCATTGTCGGTCGTTGAGGGTCGTAGTGCATCTTGAGGGAGCATAAAGGCCCATGTAAAATAGAAATTCAAGCTGACGACACTGAAAATCTTTCGATAAAGTTCAAATATTCGATTCTTAAATTTGAGTATATGTATGTTATTGGCATTCGAATATGTGCACATTCTTTGCGAATGTATTGTACAGTTATGGTTAAGATCAGAACATTAGTTGTTTTCATTAGTTGATTCCTGAATCTTCTATTGAGTCAAGACTTGTAGGCAACGATTAGAATTCTTCTCATGGGGTGCTTTGCATGCCGTGCTCAATATTAAAGGTCGCGTACATTCGATTGCAGCAAGTAACAATTGCCCTTTAATGCAGCTTAGGATTTTTATCTGATTGTTAAATGTTCAACCGGAATTTGAAAGTAAAATGTGAGAGCGTTCGGAATCGATGTTGAGTTGACAAATTTCTCATTCAGATCGGTTGCTTTTGTTGCTTGATTTCAAATGGATCCTTCTGAAGAAGACTGATTCGATTCATTGGTGCATTTTTGTATTGTGATGATTCAGAGAAATATTGTTTTAGCAATATCACATCGAATATTCGATTCATTAATATTAGATAAATGACCTACAACTCCTTCAGTTATTGCTAACAGGAAAATATCTGTGGAAAATTTATTTTTGCGAT